CTCTATATGAGCTCTCTTATCAGCTTTCACCAATTTCTTAACTTGCCCGTCTGCTGAATTGCTGCTGGCTTCTTTCTTTCAGTCTTCCTGATTTAGCATCTGTGAGTTTCTTCTTTAAGATACGTCTATTATCAATTGCCTTCCACGTGTCTGGAATGATCCATACTTTTTTCTTTGGTTTTTGTTTGAAATCTAGATAGTCCTCGCTGCTCTTTATAATATTGTTGTAATTTGTTCCCATTTCTTATTAATTTCTTCTATGCTGTGAGTTTCTTCTTCAAGATCTTGTAGTGCTTGGAACCTATTTTTTACCTGAAGGACAAAAGCATTCTTAACTTTGGAGTCTTGTAGCTTCTCTACATCAAAGCATTTCTGCATGGATATCTTGCGATCAGTGCTTCTTAGCTTAAGCTTTATGAGTGTTGTCACAAGGTGGTGATCACTGCTGACATCAGCCCCTCTTTTCTCCTTGACATCTAGTAATGAGCATCTCCGTGTTCCATTGATTATCAAATGGTCAATCTTATTACTATCCCTATATTTGGTGAGCACCATGTTAATTTGTGAATTTCACGGTGAGGAAAGAGCGTACCTCCGATGACAAGTTTGTTCGAAGTACAAAATTCCACTAACCTCTCTCCATTCTCATTCATGGCACCACACCCATGTTTCCCCATAGTTCTATCATCGTGCGTATTATCCCTCCCAACTTGAGTGTTCAAGTCCCCCATGACTATTATAAGATCATGCTGTAATGCTGTTTTTATTTCAGCTTGAAGCTGTTCATAGAATCTATCTTTCTTTTCCTCTTCACTTTCATTTGTTGGGGCATAACACTGGATTAATTGTAATGTTTACATGTCTACCTTTCATTCTGGCTCTCATCAGTCTTCTGTTGATTTGTTTCCATTCCAGCAAACATTTCTCTATTCCTTTCTTCAGGATGATAGCAACTTCCTCATGAGGTTGGTCATCATCCCTTCTGGAAAAAAGGACTGTTTCACCAGTACTAGTCTTCATTCTTCCTGATCCAATCCATCTACTCTCACTGATAAGAATAAGAAGTTTGTAGCGTCTCATTTCATTTGTAATCTGCTTAAGCTTGTCTGTTTCATACATGGTACATACATTCTAGAACCCAATTCTGGTCTTAATCTTGGTGCTCAGGACTTCCATCTTCATGTCAATAGCTTCATTTCTGCTTTCACCACTGGCAGTCATACAAGTCACTGTAAGTGACTCTGGAAGGACACCACACACAGTTGAGAAGGAATTCTTTATTGCTGTTTCCATAACAAAATCTTTTTCTAGGTCCAGCCAAACCCCCAATCCTGGAGGACCGGTGTAAATACTTAGTCTGGCTCCTCTCCCCTTGACCTCTCTGGCTTGGTTGAACCTACCAGGAGCACTGAGCTCCCACAGGCAAAGCTCCTGGGATCATAAGAACACGCAAGCTGCCCTGCCCTGACAAGGCACATGTACAAGGGGCAATGACCACAATATAGTAGAGGCAAATTGTCCAGAGTTATATAAATGTCCACTTTATTATTAGAGAGTGACTATTTTGTATTCTGTCACACTGTAGAAAAGATTCCAATGGTAGCAGAAACCATCTTGGCTTCTTGGCATCTAGCAATAGAAAGGAATGGATTGCTAATATGATATTTGGAACCAGTGACCCCAAGGGGCAATGACCACAATATAGTAGAGGCAAATTGTCCAGAGTTATATAAATGTCCACTTTATTATTAGAGAGTGACTATTTTGTATTCTGTCACACTGTAGAAAAGATTCCAATGGTAGCAGAAACCATCTTGGCTTCTTGGCATCTAGCAATAGAAAGGAATGGATTGCTAATATGATATTTGGAACCAGTGACCC